GTGATTGTACTATACCTTTAATTGTGTGAGACTGTAACTTGCGGACAAACCTCACGGTTTTTGCAAGTTAACTCATGTATTTACTACAATGATACAAATAAATAAATAAAAAAAAATATTTGTAAATATCATTTTAGACACAGCTCGGCGGTCATAAAAAAGATTAACGCCGATAAAAGAAAGAAAGCATTCCTTTGAGGGCTGTGTGAATTTGATCGCTTTCTGCTTTTAATTCATTGTAATCCTATAAGAAGATTTCTTTCTTATTAGATACTGATGAAAAGCCTTTACAATAGGAATACTGCCGAACTGTAAAGTATATTCTGCAATAATTAAATAAGCTATTATTATAGCTTATTTGTCATTAAGAAAATGTTATTATTATGTTATACTTATCTCTGTGATATTAATGATGATGATGATGATTTTGATACATTCGGTCTTCACGATCTATAGAAACTTATATTTAAAAAAATTATGTTCTTACTTCCACGACAATGTTACGATTCAGATTATATATTGACAGAACGCGAGTAACCCGGGTTCGATCCCCGCCGGCACCAATGAAATTGTTAATTGCAATTTTAAGTGCTGATTTACCACGTTCTCGGCGGTGAAGGAAAACATCGTGAGGAAACCTGCATGTCTGAGGAATAAGAAAAAAAATATTTCAAAGACATGTGAAGTTCGTCAACACGCATTTGGGCAGCGCGGCGGACACTTCCTTGCCCTAAACCCTCTCAGAAATGAGGGGAGGCCTGAGCCCAGCAATGGGACGTATATAGGCTGTAACTTTACTTTACTTTTATATATTGAAGCTCATTATCAAACTAGCAATTTTAAAACGAGACGATATAGTCAATAAATAATAAAAAATTTACGCATTAGTAGTTTCTCTAATAGATATTGACAGCTCCCTGGTGCAGTAGCTTCGCAATGAGTTATATTTTCGCAATGAGGGCCGCGGGTTTTATCCCGCACGGAACAATTTTTTGTATGGCCTACAAGTAATTGTTCCGGGTCTGGATGTTTGTCCTTGTGCAATTTATGTTTGGAAAACTGCCTCCACGATACAAGACAAAATCCTAGTGTGGGGGTAACATTTTATAAAAAAAGATAGAGAACACTGAAAGTTCTCGCTCCTGGCTGCTCATAAATATTGAATTTCGAATGTTATATTTTTTAAAGTTAAAAAATTTATATATTGATTAATAGCATTTTGGCGCCAAATCGCGTGCCACTTGTCTTATATCACAAGGTGAAGTTCATTGAAGTAACTAAAATGGAATTAACCAAAAAATTTCACAACCCGCAAGATTGCTTACCCCAAGTAGCTCCGATAGTTTTTGAAGTCGGTTAATACTTTTATCAAAATTTTAATTATTATAAGCCATACAAACATTTTCTTCGTCGCAGTACTGCAACCATACGCATAGCAACTACACTACCGAACCATCGTCGTGCTCCAGTTTCTTTTTTAAATAATAAGGGTGACAAACAAGCACATAGTCCACCGGACGGTAAGTGGATGCTATGGCCCATAGACATCTACGTGTATCCTCGATTAAGAATACAAAACGCATAAGTGTCGGCACACGTAAGGACTAAAATGAAATGCCTCGTTTCTAATAAAAAGGTTCCCCGGTTTTCTATATTCGCCACACGCTATTTTAGGCTGGTATTCTGTGAACACGTGATCCTCCACCCCAACTTCAACCCCAGTTGAGCTGACCCATTCGTGCTACAGCTACAGTACTGTTGCAGAATGGCTCTGACTAAAAGAAAGAAATTACCAGTTATTTTATATAGCAACCTAGCCCGATATAATTTCGTATAATGTACCAATAACTAACAAATATTAATTCTGACTCGGTCTTTTGACCGGAATACGTTTCGTTAAAAGGTTATACTCGCAGTTACACTATCCGTGAAATTCCCACGCGGCAGGTCAACATTTTTTATGTCCACTCTTATTTGATCTCAGCACTTGCGCGTGCTGACAACGTTTTCCTGAGGCAGATACTATACGGACGGCCTTTCGAATTTGGTGCGGTTATTATGATTTGACTGGTATTATTGGGCGGCTTCGACGGAGGTCCCTTGTGATCGATGCCTGTAAATGATTTTCCACTTAGTTAACTGAGTCCGCGTCGTATGTTTTTGCAGAAAATATATGTGTTATAGCACAAAATTTGATATAATGTTTTTTTTATTACGCTAACACTACATATTATCTCATTGTGTATATTAACTTATTTTTTATTCCCGACGAATCGAGTACTTTACAGTACCAGAAGCAGAAACAGTCCCCACGTGCTCGTGGGTAAAATAAAATAAGGTAAGCTAATATTTATAATTAATAAAATGAAATCCAAATCCGAGTATACCACTGCAAGACACCGCTCAAGATACCGTAAGATCGTTCGGCGTAGATCGGACCAAAAATTAATATACAAAAACTGAAGGTAGCCGGGCTTACTATGACATCGGGCTGTCGGGAATTAGAAAGTTAAAATTGAACGTGATAAAATCCGTAAAATTAGTTTCATTTAATACTTACACACATCTATACACATATTATATGTAAATAAATGTACCGGATAAAGGAATTTGACATATACTTAGTTCTTATTTCCCGTCGGTTTTGGTGGGCAATAAAGAGTTATATAAACGATCTAGCTCACTTATTCCGTAATTGACTATCCTACACGTCTTTGCCATATCTTTTTCCAAATATGTCTAAAAGAAATTCCTCGTAACGATAAAACTGACAATTTTACCACTTTTCTCAAATACTTTTGTTGATGTTCATGTTTTGATGCGCAAAGCGTTATCTAATTTATTCTTTATATGACCAGCTAATATAGGAAACATTTTCTACCAAAGAATCATTCTACAAAGGTACCACGTTGTTGCATTATTTTTACGCATGTTGCTACGGCTAAGCAGCAATGCGTATACTGTAGTGCTGTATTGCTTCTAAGGTGTACAGAGGTCCAGCATAAGTACCAAATGTGAGGCATTCCAATTTGGTACTCAGAGGTGACAACTCATCTGTAGACTAGTTGTTGATTGATTGAAGTTAGTGTATTGTTGTGTGTGTGTGTGTGTGTGTGTGTGTGTGTGTGTGTGTGTGTGTGTGTGTGTGTGTGTTTGTGTACGTCGTGTGCGTGTGCGTGTGCGTGTGCGTGTGCGTGTGCGTGTGCGTGTGCGTGTGCATGTGCGTGTGCGTGTGCAGTGACGTGTGCGTGTGCGTGTGCGTGTGCGCGTGCGCATGTCTTATCGTACGAGGGCAGCACTGAAAATTTCGGGAAAGTGACACAACATTACTATTTAAAATGTATTTATTGCTTTTCGAAGTATTCTCCGCGAAATTTGACACATTTTTCCATACGATGGAACCAATCATTGAAGCAACCATACCATTCGGAAGTTGGGGTTTCCAAAATGGCCGTTTTGTAGGCGTCCACAGCTTCTTCAGGTGATGAAAATCTCTGTCCACGCAATTTATTCTTTATTTTAGGGAAAGTATAAAAATCATTAGGGAATAGGTCGGGGCTGTACGGCATTTGATCTAATAATTCTATGTTTTCTTGCTCTAAAAACTCTTTTGTTCTGTGTGCGGTGTGAGAACTCGCACTGTCGTGATGGAGGATGATGCGGCGGTTGCAGTTCTCTTTACGGAGTTCAGAAACGACCTGTGGCAAACAAATGCTAGCATACCATTCTGCATTAACCGTTCTTTGTCCCTAAAGAGAAATAGTCATAACATGGCTGGTTTTGGAGACAAACGTGGCCACCATTTTTTGTGCAACACTCCGTGAACGAACAATTTTTGTTGGCTCATTTAACTCATTTTCGAACACCCAAACTCGTGACTGGTTTTTTGTTTAGGGTTCGTACGCGTATTATCCAGGATTCGTCACCTGATACGATGTTGTGTACAGCATTTGAGGATCCTGCGTGGAATCTTTCGAGAGTTCTGATGCACCAAGTAACGCTAGCCGCTTTTTGCTCTTCACAGAGCGAATGCGGTATCCACCGGGAAAACAACTTTTTTACACCTAATTGTTCATGCAAGATTATTTGTATTTGACTCTTGCCAATGTCATATCCATCAACGTTTTCTTGGGTAACTGCAGTTTTTGGACGACCTTGACGGGGATCATCACTGAGCTTGACACGTCTAGGTTGAAATTTAGCAAACCAGCGATAAATTGTGGTTTTGGATGGGGCTTCATCACCAAATGCAGAAATCATCCGGTCAACACACTGTTTTTGTGTTAAACCACTTCGAAAGTCATAATAAATCATCGCTCTTGAATTTTGTCGAGTCAATTCCATTTTCTCAACGACTAAACAAGTTTGACAAAACCTTGTGACAAGACCGAGAATCTTTTTTTAAACAAATAAATGGTATTCAATTCTTAAAATCAAGGAGTTTTCAATTAAAAGATTTTAATATGACAGGAACAGTGGAAATATTCCATTCCCGATACTTTTAGTGCAGCCTAGTACAATATCTTTAGAACGAATTATTCAAGTTTATTCTAAATGACTTTCAAAGCCAAGTAAATCAACTCATCATACGTCATACTCAGACGAAATAAAGAGTTTTTATTGCGTCTGAGCTGTCATAAACGAAAATATTGGCACGTGGTATATTAACCGGCCACCAGCCAGCCAGCGCCCTCGCGATCCACACGTTAGACCTAGGAGTATACATAGAAGTGTTTGTTTCTCTGATTTTATAATTCAGTACTTAAGTGATAATGGAGCCCTAGATAGTTGATCACACGTTTAATCATAAACTAATCCTATAACATCACGACAGATTCGTCAAGTGTAAAAAAACTGTGCGCAAATAAAGATTGTCGACGATTCCGCTCCATTAAACGAATCTGTCGAGCCAGGGTCAACAGTGCGCTGTCACTCAGGTATTATCTGCATATATTACTGTAGACGTAACGCCACGCGGGACGTTCGTCAATGGCGTTTTAATGAGCTTTGTGTCCGAAACAAATATATTATACAGGATTTTTTGGAGTTCAGCTGTGACGTGAGTTTTTAAAAGTACGACCCTGTTTACTTTGCATGAAATTTTATGGAATCAACTTCTGCCCGCACTTAAATAATTAATATTGAATTACCTGCATTTGACGGTCTTATAACAATGGAATTAATTGAATTGAGGATAGTTTTATTTACCTTTTCTCTGAGGTATATACAGGTTAAAGTTAAAATTCACTGACATTATTAAACGTATTATTCTAATCATATTAAGAAATATTTTAGAATAAATTAAATAAGTAACATTGCAGAAAAAAATATCTAAAAAATGTAAAACATAAGCAAAATATAACAATGAAGTATACACTTAGCCATTATTATTTTATATATTACTTAGTCGTTATTACATATTATTATTATAGATAGATAGATAACATTTTATTGTATGCAAAAAAATATAGAATTTTCTTTTTTTTATATAGAATTTTTAACTTTAATTTTTAATTTAATAATTTATTTAAACTATGTATATTGGAATGACTATCTCCTGACATACAGGATTCCTAGTTCAGGAGCTAAGTCCCATCGGAACATGTGTGTAATTTATTTGTATTTTTGAAGTTTTAATAGTATAAAGTATTATTATACGATGTTCAGTAAAATGCATTACACATCTTATTTAAAACCATTGCACATTGTTACGTAGTACTATTATTTATTCTGTGACATAATATACACTATCATATATATATTTATAATTAATTAATCAATAAAAATAGCAATAACTTCAATAAAACAAGCTTAATGGTTAAAACAATAACTGAAAAACCGACAGCATTAAAATTTACTGCAGAAAAACATTCTCCTCCCTTTTTCGAATTTGTAAATGCAATATATAAATATTATATAGCCTATGTCACTTCGACAACTACGACAAATCTAACGGCACCTCATGCGTTAAAATCTAACAGCCGTTTACGCTACAGACCAAGAAATAGATACACAAAACACATTACCCTCTTTATGGTGCAGTCGGGTAATAGAAAAGTATTTAAGACACAGCGTATTTTCTTCAACCAAAGTCAACTTGACTTTTGAATATTTGGTAAGTATTTTTTATAGTTGTATTTAAACGGTCCAACCGAACCACATACGAGTACAAACAAACAGATAAACAAACGAAAAGGATTACCCGCCTGTGAGGCGGTAGATAATAAAAGACCGTCCTGTCCAAAGACAACGGATCCCAGACTCGCCATGATTAGTTGTCAAATTGATATTAAATGTTGTAATCGCGGTTTAGAGATAATCGATTTCGGATTAAGCCTAAATTTGCAAATACGACTCCAATAAATTACCTATTACATTGTGAATAATGAGGCAATATGCAGTCCAAATAATTGAATAAAGCTCATTTTACGGGTTTTATCACGTTTAATTTAACTTGTTTAACTTATTTTTAATTTCCTACATTTCGGGTGCTTTACAGCACCCATGGTGGCACGAGGTACTGATGTGTTTGACGTTCAGCTTTTGAATATTAATTTTTGGTTCGATCTACTCAAAACGAGCTTACAGTACCTTGAAGTCTTGTAGTGGTACGGTTGGGTTTAGATTTAATTTTATTAAATATAGGATCCTAAGCAGATGGAACCCATCCATCCATCACTATTGATATAACGATGTTTTTTTTTTAATTTCAATAGCCTCGCGAATTATCTTTGGTAGGAATCACTGTTTTTTTGTGAGGATTTGTGGTTTGTGAAATCTGCTGTAATTACGAAAACGATCTTGAACATGTTTACAGATTGGAGACTTTAGTGTCCAATATTAAGGTGTAAATTTAAAAAAATCATTAATCAATCAAAACAATATTTAATAAGAACAATTAAGATATGATTATTGTGATTTATTACAGGTTTTAATGTTCATAAAATAGAAATGAGCTTACAGATTAGATGTTACAATGGCTATTGCATCTCATAGGCATCTGTTACCAACACGACACTAAAGACCTGACCACTGTCACCTGTGAGGACATCCCATATATGGTATTATTACTAACTCTCCATACCCTTAGACCGGAAACAAACAGAGAATGAACTGGTACTTGATGACAAATTTCTTTTTATGAGGTTGTTTACTTATGTAAAGGCTCTACTCCTAGCGAACGACGCGCTCTCGCTACAGTATATCGCGTAAGAAATACGCTCAAATTTTCGGAAGATTATTTCAATTAAAAAGGAAAAGCAAACTTAAGAAATTAAATAAATCGTGAATAATATAGATTTTTAAATTATCCATCCATTAGTGTAATCATCAATTGATTAGAGCGTTGCCTTTAGCAACAGATGCATGTAACCAATAATTTAGGTCATTTTTAAAAGTTGATTTTAAATGTATTTATAACACATAAAAACAAATTAGATTGTGGAATGTGATGAAAGGATATCGAACATTAATAATGTGCTTTTATATGTAGTTTATTTCTTTGATTAAAACTACTTTTATGGATTGTATCGCGTTTAATTTTACTTCTAATTATTTTTAATTCGCGACGTTTCGGGTGCTTTCCAGCACCCATGGTCACGGGGGACTGGACGCGAAACGTCGGGAATTAAAAATAATTAAAAGTAAAATTAAACGCGATAAAATACGTAAAAGTAGTTTTAATCAATGTGTAGAGTTCGCGTAAATATAAGAAATCATTAGTTTATTTCTCATAACTAATGATATAATAGTCTCTGAAGAACGCACTATCACAAGGTTTTGGTCGGGGTATCGCGCGGTTTATCTATTACATCGAATGTCAAACAACTTAGCCCTCCCTCCCTCTCTCCGTTTGATCGTGGGCGCTGTGAAATATCCGAAGCGTTTGGAATTAAGAATTAGGGTCATTACCACTTACCACCAGGGGCGATTGTAGTCGGGCACTGTCTTGTAAGAAGTAAATAAAACTAGAAAATAAAAACTGCGGTTGCCAACCCTAGCGGGTACAGAGTAGTTTATTTATACTGTGGTAATAAATGAATAACCTAAGACTATATATTCCAACTTTCTATAGGAAAATGTGATAATATCTTAACATGATTACTTTGTATCTAATTCTAAGTGAATCATTGTATCAATCCAGACCGTATCAATTCCGTTACAGCTTATTAAAGTCCACTCCTGAACGCCAGGCCTCCCCCGCAGACTGCCGCAAAGGGGAGGGGGGGGGTCTGGCAAAGTTGCTACGATCAGCAAGCGGGTTGGTACCCACAGTTTTTTATTTTTAGTGAATCCTTGATGTTATCGTGAAAATTGAAATCTTAAACAACTGAAGTTGCTAATCCGCCTGTCAAACGTGGCAACTGTGGCAAAGATCCCTCTTGAGAAGCAATATACGGAAATATCTTTGTTCAGCGGTGGACTCCGATAGATTGTAATTAATCAAAAATGAATAAATTATAATTTTATTTCTCGTACAGTTTATCCAGTACAGTTTTCCCTATACCTATAAGTTAGAGATAATTGCAAATTAAAAACTAAATTTAAAGTTGATTCTTAATGGTTGAACCACTTAATCAAAGGTTACAAATACCAAAGTTAACTTCACTGTCACTCTATATCTACAGGTATTTTTTGTTAAAATTATACGCGGATGAAGTTGCTAGTTCCTAACAAATGACAGGCAATAATTTACAATAAAACTCATACAGGAATCCACGCTTATAAATCATCTGTGGCTACATTAAAAGTATGTATTTATTGTATTTATTTTAACATGCAAATATAATTTTATATATTTTCTATGTATTTTTTTTTTTTTTTTTTGGAGAAGAAATGTTCTCTAGAGGCAGTCTTGTGCCGGTAAGTCAAGTGTAGTAAGACATACATTATATCGACAGCTAACAACAAACTTTAGGCCGTGTTTTGTGGTATTTTAAGAGAGACGTATCTTCAGCGGGGGAACGGTTGAGAGCTGTAATTATGATGCTGATGATATAACCTTTATTTTACTGCATGATTTAGAACGCATCCGATAATATTTTTTGATTTCCTACTAAATCATTATTTCCTTTATGAAAACAAATAACGTCGCTTCTTATTTCATACAAAACCATTACGAAATGAAATAAATTAAAAAAGTACATAAGAAAACGGACCTTAAGTGTGTATCGGGTACCCGCTAATTACTGGATAACCTTAAAAATCTTAAAATGTGACTTGAATAAACTAATGGCCAATCAGAAAAAACAACTGCAAAAATATTATCCCAAGTAATACCAAAGTTAACTTTTTTACCTTATTTTACATTATTGAACCCCACGACTACAAATTAATTAATTTCATGTGTTTTTTTAATTATAAATATTTTACGTTAACTGCACTGATAGAGAAGCAATAAATAGTATGACTGCTATTGCATGATATTTTAAATGAATTGTAATATTTTATATTTTGATTTGTTATTTTTATGTGGCGATAGGTTTTGAAGATAATAAGTATAAGTCAACATTCGTTTCTCAATTCCTTAGATCAGAGGATCCAATAGTGCGCATCTCCGGCGCCCGCAAGCGTAGCATTGGCCGTGAAATCCCCCGAGTCGAGTTGAGTATTCTACGACCAGATTACTTTGACCTCGCACCTCACCTAGAAGGTGCACAGACGTGTACACATTCGGAATCCGACAAGAGAACGCGATAATACACGTGGGATCTTCGTTATCTTGCTGAGTGGTTACAAGCTCAAATAGGTTTTATTGGGGGCGTTGGGGAGGTCTCATGTGATCGAGGTGTCATAAATGGATTTCTGCTTCGTTTACCTCGACTTTACGCTCGTAAGATTTTGTCTGATGTTAAGAAATTGCTAAATACACACAAAATATTTTACGTACATAAAAGTATATCGATTATTATAAAGTATACATTTTATAAATAATCGAGATAAAGGTACATTAATAATGTAAGTAACCATTACTCACTTGAGTTTCACATAGTACACTTGAGTACATAATGTATGACTGTCTCGTTAGTGCAGTGCCCTTAAACGTGGTTTCTGATCAGAAGGTACTGGGTTCGAATCCCGGGTCAAACCACAAAAAAACAGATATTTAGTTTTCAGTCAAGAAATTCTCATTAGCAGCTCGGAGTCAAGAAATAAACGCTGTTCACCCCCCCCCCCGTGCCTTGGTAAACACATAACGCCGTTGTTCCTGCGCCTGATCTGCTTTCGGTCGTGTCGAATTACCGTCCTAGCAGACTATGTGATTGAGGGAACAGTGAGAACATTTTTGGTTGCGCATACACGCAGGCACTATGGTTTTGTCCTGCGCAGGTGGCAAGTCTCCTTTGTGGTTGGCTGTTTGACCGAAATTTAGACTGGACGACATTATTATTATATAAGTCTTCAATTTATTGTCGCTGATACTACTTATTAGTTGATTTCGTATATTTGGCATTTTCTTTAATTAATTCTATCAAAACATAATTTAAATTATACAATTGTTTGAAATCAAAACAAAATGTGAACAGTTTTTTTTTTTGTTTAGTTGTTTGTACTAGATTGTAGTGTTTTTAAATAGTTCAATATTACTGATCTGCTTAAGTAATTCCAACTAATGTCATTTTGTAATATTGCATATTATGTAGAAAGTCCTCCTTCTCATCTCTCACTTTTGTAATTTATCCTATAAATTATTATCTGAGGCTGTTGGTGTTGGCTTCACTAAATTCAAATTTTAGGATTATGATTAGTTATTAAACCTCTGTTGAAGTTGTTTACTGGTCCTTAAATAAATTTAAAAATTCTAGAGTACGAGTATAATGTCATTTTATACACATTTCTTAGTACTAATTACATAGTACAATGTCTGTATAGACTGACTAGCTGATCCGATACATTATTATGTCTGAGTTGATATTATTTAATATGTAGTTCGATAGTAACATGACTATAGGTGCATCTGTTAGAGATCGTGTAACTTCTGAACAACTTGTTCGACTGAGGTCAAATACATTCTACATACAACATATTTGTTTGTTTTGTGGCCGCGGATGTGTGCCAATGCGTTCGTGTGGCACAGTCTATATGCAGCTAAGGGACACCATGAAGTTTTAAATAAAGAAACTAACCCGTCTTGCCCTCTGTGAGACGGATATGCGTAGGAATTTTCCCATAAAATAGTTGGATTTTTATTTGAAAATTCAAATTTCAATATATCTCTACATTTTGAGTGTGTTCATGTAACTATTGTTTACGATCATGTGTTTGTCCGAACGATTTTAAACTTTTTTGTCTCGAATTCGTATGTAACGAGAAAAAAATTAAGTATTCAATGTATTGTTTAACATAAAGAAAACGATGTACTATTATTATTATTATTAGTCACTAAGCAAAGGCACATTATTTTATTATAATTCACTCGCAGGTGGGTAGTACAATTATTTTTTTAGAATACGGGTGATAAACGAGCACATAGTTCAACTGATGGTAAGCGGATGCTGTGGTCCATAGACATCTACATTTATCCTTTATTAATAGTTAAAATGCTGATGCCTTGCCACCCTAAATGACTAAGATGGAATACCTCGTTTTCAGGGTTTCCGGTTCTCTACACTCACCACACGAAACACAACAGTAGTATTCTGTGACAGTATGGTTCTTTCCCAGTCGAACCAACCCATTCGTGCTAAAACCGTAATATAGCTGCAGAATGGACTTGAGGATTGCCTGATGGTAAGTGATCGACGCTGTAATGTGATGAAATGAAAGGCAAGACTGCTGACTAAAAACTGACTTTATTCTTAATAATCAATCCTTAAACAGGTACAATTAAGTCACACAGTTCATATGTTTACATTTTATATGCTTATATCTATTCCTTACATCTCATCGCCACCTATGAATTTAGTAAAACCAAAAGATTTTGACGGCTCCGTGACGTTAATATTAAATTGCGGTGCTAAGAGCCGCGAGTTTGAATCCCGCACAGAAGAAATATTTGTATGGCAAATGATTGTTCTGGGTCTAAATGTTTATCCTTATGTAATAATGTCCTCCAGACCGAATTTCGGCCTTGGCGGCCTGTCTCAACAGAGGCTAGCCATCGACGCCGGACAGGATTATAGTGCCCAAGTGTACGCGCAAGCACAGGTGCACTCTCTATTCCCTCACTCTTATAATCCGATGGGACGGTAAACCGACACGACCGGAGAGAGATCACGCGCTTACCGAGGCACGTGGGTGAGACACCGACAACTTCCTGACTCCGGGCAGCTACTGAGAATTTCTTGACGGAAAAACTCAGTAATTGATTTTGTTGGCCCAACCCGGGATTCGAACCCAGGACCTCATGATCAGCCGTCGCACTACTACAACCACTAGACCAAGGACGCAGTTTTCCTCGTTCTTTTTTCTAATGTGACGTTAATTAAGAAAAAAAATTGCTGGTACGTTGCTGGCCTTTTAGAACCGAGTTGGTTCTATTCTTAAAATTCATTCAGTCATGTCGGTGAAAAAAACCTTACACACACAACGATGGTAGTAAATTTATTACTAATAAAACGCACGGTGGTAAGTGCTAATGATCGGGATGATGTAGATAGGATGAATATAGAATCGCGGCGCAGTGTATGATGTCAGAACTGGGTAGATGAAATTGATTCGCACAATAAATTCAAAAAAGATTCTTGAGATATATCTCTTTTCGTCATGGTTACCGTCATAAGTTGGCCTCCTATAGATATCGACTGCTAAAATTTAACATGGTAACCCTAGAAACGAGACGCAAAAGGTTCGGGTGATTTCAAAACCGCTGTTTATTAAATTATTTATAACTTTAGTAGATGTAACTCATTCTATTGTACTTCATAAACACATGTTTTGGCTTACTGTTTAGTACTTCATCATTTAATTTTAAGAAACTTTTATCTCCACAACTATAAACTGTATTGTGTTAATAAATTAAATAAAATTCTGCGTACTACTATAATAGAAGGTTAAAGAATAAAAAAAGATGCAATATCTATTTTTACGGATAGAGAATGAAGTCGATCGGACAAACTCGACTGTAGGCTCTAGTCTAGAGCTCTATCTAGTATATTTTTGGGTTATTAAATTGTATTTTAATTGTATTTTTAAATTGTATATATACATTTAAATCGGAAACCGCCATAACAAAACACGAAAACTTTTTCTGCCAATGTCCGGTTTTTGGCCAGTCGCATTTAACCCTAAATCTTTATCGGATTTTTTTTAAATAGAATAAATCTAATTCTATTTTAAAAAAAATCCGATTTCTTTTTCCAGTGCTTTTCATTTCAACATTTATTTTTACAGAATTTTCAAATATTTCTTCACACCAAAACAAATTAAACTGTAATTGTGATTCTGCGTCTGAGGTGAGTCCTTTGATTATCTCTCGCAATAACATTATGTGCCGACTGAGCCCGTCACGTAGCATTAGCAATTTCATCATACTCGTATCGTCCGTTTTTATTTTTAATAGGCCAGTGTTTAACCATCCCAACTGATGTTAAGTAGTAGGATCAGATGGTTAACACATTAGCAATCAACTTGCCTATCCACTCGTGTCTTAAAGGAATTGGTCTGGCGTGAACGAGTAGGTTATTTCACTATACATCGGAAACCGGTAGGTTTTTCGGTCATATCCTATACTCAATTACGACAACCGCAAGATGAGGTGACATTGTAAGATAAAATCTATATATTTTATGTGTTAGAATCATGCCGCAGCTCATGGTGCAGAACCACGCTCTCACAGAATACCAGCATAAAATAGCAGCTTGATACTGCTGTGTTTCAATGATGAGTGTAAAGAACCGAAGACCCTTTTCACTGGAAACGAAACATTCAATCATGGTTCTTACGGGACTCAAAAGGGACAACGTTCTCAAGAATCAAAACGGACAACGTTTTGATTCTTAATCAAGATGTCTATGGGCCACAGCACCCACTTACCATCATGTGGACTGTGTGTGATTTTTCACTTATTTCTTTAAAAATATTATAAAAGGTTTTACGCCATCCGGTGGCTAGACCGTAATCCATCAGCCGTAGCGTCAGGCTCGTAAAAAAACTTTATACCCGGGAAAAGTCACACTATATTAGCAGTAACTTATAATAACATATGTATTTAAAGCTTTTCCGAGAAATATACATATATTACATTAAAAGAATTCTGCGTGAAAAGCAAAACTATAACGAGGATATAATAGCGATGCCTTCATCGTTGGCCGCAAAAAGAGACGCTCTTGATGTCTTCATTTTAATTAAAGTGTCATTAAAATAATTATGAAAATAGTAGAGCGCGGTACAATCGTAGAGACGGCGCTACATTAAATTACTTAGAATGAGATCGTTTCTATGACACTTAAAAATTGTTATTCTTTATTATGTATAAAATATTTATTTTTAAGTAAAAGTAATATAAAAATAATATAAAAATAATAATAAAATCACATTCTGAAGTAGGATTTTAGATATAGTGTATAAAAAAAAAACTCGACTTCATAAAAATTTGTTTCTTATGTTTACACGAATTTAATAATAGTTTTATTTATTTTGTGTAGAACGAACGTTCGTCACCCTTCCTCGATAAAAAAAAATTGCTCTCACAGAATACCAGCTTCATCTTGCTTTGATTCGTATGGTGTGTAGAGAACCGAAGATCCTTTTTACTGAAA